GCAGTGGTGCGATCTCGGCTCACTGCGACCTCCACCTCCAGGGTCCAAGCAATTCTCCTGCCTCAGCCTCCCAAATAGCTGAGATTACAAGCACATGCCACCATGCCTGGCTAATTTTTGTATTTTTAGCAGAGATGGGGTTTCACCATGTTGGCCAGGCTGGTCTCCATCTCCTGACCTCAGGTGATCTGCCTGCCTCAGCCTCCCACAGTGCTGGGACTCCAGGCGTGAGCCACCATGCCTGGCCTTATAACCACATTCTTTTCCAGTGTCCCCTGCTCCGCCCTTCCCATAGCCATGGCAGCTTACCTACTCTATAAAAGGAGCAAGCAAGAGAGGTGCCACGTCTGCCCTTGCCCAGGGGTCTTGTTCCATTGCCACAGTGGACCCCACAGGTCATCATGGACCCAAGCGTTTCAAGCTACCTGATTTTATACCTCAGTGAGGCTAATCACTGCAGAGGAACTCGGAGCGTGTTATGAAGAAGCTGCTGGGAACACGGACAGGAAAGCCCTCATGCGCCTGTCGCTCAGAATGTGGCTTGAGCCCATTCTTAGCAGACACTGCGGGGAAGAGGGGATGGAGAATCATGTGGCACTGAGGTCCTTTTCACATTTTTATCTTAAACCTCTGTATGAGTTTTTTTTTTTCCTTTCTTTTTTTAAGGAGTCTTGTTGCCCAGGCTGCAGTACAGTGGCATAAACGTGGCCCACTGCCGCCTCCACCTCTTGGGTTCAAGCAATTCTCCTGCCTAAGCCTCCTGAGAAGCTGGGATTGCAGGCGCCTGCCACCACACCCGGCTAATTCTTTTGTACTTTTAGTAGAGATGGGATTTTACCATGTTGGCCAGGCTGGTCTTGAACTCCTGACCTCAGATGATCTGCCTGCCTTGGCCTCCCAAAGTGTTGGGATTAAAGGCATGAGACACCGCGTCCGGCCACCTCTGTATGATTAACCTTCTCCCATAGCATTTTCCACGATGGTTGCATGGAATGTTGATAACTGGGCCAATAACCAGTGACTTAGGAGCAAGAGTGCCTCACGCTCGAGTTGAGGAAATGCCCAAATGTGTTTCCCGTGCCTTTCAGAGGCAACGTGCACTCACCTCTCTAGATGTCATGTGCAGTGTGCAGTGCAGTCAAGTTATCTGAAACTCTAGTAGCGCCCACTCCAATATGCTCTGTAGACACCAGGCTGAGGATGCAGACACAGAACGTAGCTGTGAGAACTGGGACTTCCTCCCTTAGCTCTGCTACCAACTAACTGAGTGACCTCGGGCGAGTGCCTCAGCCTCCCTAACCCTCTGGTATACTTGGATATGTGCTCCTGATACATTTCATGTTGAAAGCTGATCCCCAGTGCTGGAGGTGGGGCTGGTGGGAGGTGACTGCATCATGGGGGTGGATTTCTCAGGAATGGTTTAGCACCATCTCCTTGTTGCTGTCCTCGTGACAGTGAGTGAGTTCTTGCAAGACCTGGTTCTTTAAAAGCGTGTGTCACCTGCTCCTCTTTCCCACTCTCTTGCTCCTGCTTTCGCCCTGTGAACCATCTGCTTCCACTTCACATTCTGCCATGAATAAAAGCTCTTTGCTTTGAGGCATCCCCAGAAGCCAGGCAGATGCCAGCACCATGCTTCCTGTACAGTCTGCAGAAACATAACCAATTAAATGTCTTTTCTTTTTTGAGAGAGTCTGCCTCCTAGGCTGGAGTGCAGGGGCACGATCTCAGCTTCCTGCAACCTCCACCTCCCCGGTTCAAGCGATTATCCTGCCTCAGTCTCCTGAGTAGCTGGGACTACAGACATGCACCACCATGCCTGGCTACTTTTTGTATTTTTAGGAGAGGCAGGGTTTCACCATTTTGGCCAGGCTGGTCTTGAACTCCCGACCTCAAATGATCCACCCACCTCAGCCTCCCAAAGTGCTGGGGTTACAGGTGTGAGCCACTGCGCCCGGCCATCTTGTCTTTATAAATTGCCCAGTCTCAGGTATTTCTTTTTCTTTTCCTTTTTTTTTTTTCTTCTGGAGTCTCATTCTGTTGCCCAGGTGGAGTACAGTGGCGTGATCCTGGCTCACTGCAACCTCTGCCTCCCAGGTTCCAGCCATTCTCCCACCTCGGCCTCACAAGTAGCTGGGATTACAGGCATGGGTCACAACGCCCAGCTAATTATTTTTTTATTTTTATTTTTTGGTAGATACAGTGTTTCACCATATTGGCCAGGCTGGTCTGGAACTCCTGACAGCAAGTGATCTGCCTGCCTCAGCCTCCCGAAGTGTTGGGATTATAGGCAAGAGCCACTGCGCCTGGCCTTCAGGTATTTCTTTACAGCAGTATAAGAACGGCCTAATACACCCTCTTTCTTCTCTCCAAAGAAGGGCGATGGATCCTGCTTCTCAGAGCTCTGCGTGAGATGAGATGAGATGAGATGACGATTCCTAATGGGTGAGGAAGTGGAGCGGCAGAGACCCCCAGGCTGCCAGTGCCGCTGCTGTGGAGCACGGTTTGGCAATATTGAGTGCATGCCCCGGAACCAGTCCCACTCCTGGGTAGGGTCTCAGAGAATCTCTTGCACATGTGCACAAAAAACTTGCACAGTAATGTTGGTGGTTACGTGACTGGATGTTGAAATGACCTTTCAGCCGAGGAGCCAAGAGCCATGTGAGCTTCCAGAGGCGCCGTGAGACCATGAGCAGCAGCGAAAAAAGAGGTTCCCCAGACACCTCTTAGGTGCCCTCATCCATGCTAACAGTACAAAAGGGTTGGGAATTATATATTTTCACAGGTAATATTTGTAAGGAGGATTTCTTTGGGGAAGGTTGAGCTGTTGATTCCAACCCTGCTTCTCTCAAGAGGGAGGGCCGGTGAGGGTCCTTCTGCCTCACCCTAAGCCCCTTGGAGGCCTGACATGGGCCGTCTGCCATTTGTGGGCCAGTGACTTAAAAGCGCCAGCTGCCCAGAGAAGGCTGCGTGTGGGAGGCGGTAACTGCTCATCCACTGGTGCAAGGTGTGGATGTGGGAGGCACAAGTGTCCCCTGAGACCAGGTGTGAACCCCCAAGCAAGGATGGGGCGGGTCATCTAAGAACCTGTCCAGTGGGCCCTTGGAGGGCGGTGGGATCTCTGCAGGAAGGAGGACGATGGATGCAGCCCTCTCAGTGCTGCAGAGCTGCAGAAGGAGGAGGCAGCTACGCAGAACACTTCACTCAGGTCCAGGGAACTGCAGCTGAGAGGCGATCAGCAGTGCTCTCCAAGAACCTCTGAAAGTTCTCTCAGAAGGTCAGTTGAAACATATGTCCCACCCAGAAAGTCAGCTAGAGTTTCCCTTTGTGACTCTCCACACCCCAACTCTCCCAGGTCAGAACCAGCCCTGGCAAACTGGAGAGAGGCAAGCTGGAGAGAGGGGCGGTGCTCTGCTCTTCTGCCACCAGGTGGCGCACCTGCAGCTGGCCAGGGGCTGGAGGGAGCTTGGGAGGGAAGATGGCCAGTGTAAATCTAACCCAAGTTCAAGGTCTTTTCCTAACTGTTTATTCAGTCGGCTAGAGTACCTACTCTTGTTTCAGCCTAAATAACCAAATTTGTTTTTAGCTGTCCCCATTACAAGCCCAGGCAACAGCTGTGTTCCAGAGCTTCTGAACCTCACGTCCCCTTCCTGCATGCCCGGGTCCCCTGAGACCAGGGACATTCAGCAGAAAAGGGTGTGCTGCCCCCAGCCCCTCCCTAGCTCCCTAGCACAGGCTGGTGTGTGCCTGTGTCCCATTTTTATTGAAACGCAGAGTTGACACTCTGGGAGGGCATGGACTTCCTGCAGGAGAGGCAGTCTCCCCTTAAACAAGGCTCCCTCCTTCAAGAGAAAATTGGGCCTCTGAAGGCTCCTGTGGTCGGATCCTGCCTGCCAGCAAGGTAGGGAAGATCCAGGCTGGGTGACCCAGGAGGGGAGTCTCATGAAGTGGCCTAAAGCAGAGCTGGGGACCCAGCAGGAGGGGCTGGAAGGAGCCCAGGTTTCAGACAGCACTGAGCATCCCACCTGCAGGAGGCGGGGAGGGGCAGGGACGCCACTGGGCATCAAGCAGCGGGCTTGGGGGGCAGAAGTGGGCTCTGGAAAATGGTTCAGAACTGGGACCTCACGCTTGGCCCCCCACCCTGAGCTGCTCAGCAGGGAGGCCAGGCAGCTGCTGTATGCCCCCGTGCTTCAAGACATGCAGTACCATGCTCTGAGACATAGGGTCAGGTTTGACAGCCTGAGAAACTGAAATTATCAAGTTTGTCACCTGTGATGAGGTCTTGGTGTCCTCACATCAAGTGTCTTCACCACAGTGGCAGACTGAGATATTTATAGGTGAAATGACCATGGTGGCTTGGACTTGCTTTTGTTTTTAGAGACAAGGTGTTGCTCTGTCACCCAGGCTGGAGTGCAGTGGTGCAATCACAGCTCACTGCAGCCTCCGGGGGTTAAGTGATCCTCCCGTCTCAGCCCCTCCAGTAGCTGGGACTACAGGTGCAACTGCCACACTCAGCTGAGTTTTTAATTTTTTTGTAAAGATGAGGTCTTGGTATGCTGCCCAGGCTGGTCTCAAACTCCTGCGGACTTGTGTTAAAAAATACTCCACTCTCCCCTCAAAAGTTAGGGGAGACAGAGAAAATAAAGTTTTCTTTTTTCTTTTTCTTTTTTTTTTTTTTTTGAGACAGAGTCTCGTTCCGTCACCCAAGCTGGAGTGCAGTGGCATGATCTCGGCTCACTGCAACCTCTACCTCCTAGGTTCAAGTGATTCTCCTGCCTCAGCCCCTGAGTAGCTGGGATTACAGACGCATGCCACCACGCCCTGCTAATTTTTATATTTTTGTAGAGTTGGGGTTTCACCATGTTGGCCAGGCTGGTCTCAAACTCCTGACCTCAGGTAATCCACCTGCCTTGGCCTCCCAAAGTGCTGGGATTACAGGCATGAGCTACCGCACCTGGCCAGAAATAAGATTTTCTCAATGTTTGATTTTCTTTTTCTTTAACCAGAGGAAAGCATGAATGCAGCCCCCATGACCACGAATGATGAAGCCGAGTTTCCCACTTTTGGGAAAATCGCAGGGTTGGCACATCGGAGGGCGGAGGATAAGCCTCGACCTGGGAAGACCACTTTCGTGATCTCGTATCTCCGCTGCCAGGTGAGTACATTGGTAATTTTTAGGCTGGGTGAGAGGCTCTCTCTACTTTTGTGTAGGTTTGACATTTTCTAAAACGCTATTGTTTTAAAAAAGAGAATCTGCAGGAAGAACAGGCCTGGAGTCAGTTTCCACCTGCACCAAGTACGTGTTCCTCAGCTCCTTTTCACCAAAACCTGTCCCCACAGCCGTGGACTGGACCATCCCTCTCTGCCCTTTCCTATGCACCCCCGTGCCTGCAAGATAGGATGACGGCAGCCTGTTCTCAAACCACAGAAGAGATGGCTAATGACTGGAATAGCCAACCTTTGGGTGGTGAACTATCAATCAAAACAAAGTAGGGGGCTGGGAGGATGCCAGAGCCGGCTTTCCAGTGGAGCACGGACAGGTCCCGCCCAGGGAGCTCCCCCACCCTGGTGGCCAGGGACCTAAGATCTACCAATGCCAAGAATTCACTGAACTGTCGCTCTCCACAGTTCCAGTGGCCTGGAAGCTCCCTCCACCTCATCACCCCCGCCCCCACCGGGCTCCTGACAGCCCTGTGTGACCCGTGGCCTCATGTCCTCTCTTCCCTCCATGGCTGGGGCTGTCCCCACCTTGTCTGGATCTCCTGGCCAGCACTGCCTGCATGTGAAGACGCTGGAATGCGGGGTGCCAAGCCAGTGCAGAGCCCACACTGGCTCCTGGTGAGCACTGCATCAAGCTGCCCTGCTGCTGGGGACACAAGATCCTGTGCGCGCGTGTCTATCTTCTGCTCCGCCACCACCCCTCCTTGGCTCCCCCTCCTCTCCGGCAGCTCCCTTACCTGCCCTTGGATTCTGGAGTCCCCCAAGCTGGCTCAGAAGTTTCTTCTCCTGGCCTGGCTTGAGCAACCTGCAATCTCAAGCACACGCGGACTCCCAAAGCCAGCGTCCGGGGAGAGCCTCACGCGTCTGCCTCCCGCAGGATGTCTGTGCTGGGTCTGCAAAGCCCAATGTCTACTTTGCCTTTGCAGTTGGATGCCAAAGAGACACTTTACCTTGCTTCACTTGTTCCAGGCCCCACTTACCACCTCCTTCAGACACGCAGCGATCTGCATCTTAGCTAATGGCACTGTCATCCTACCAGGGAAGCAGTCACGGACTTGGGACTCACCCCCACCCGCATCCACTTCAGCCTCGGCCCTGCTGACGCCACCCCACAAACCTCTCCGGGACAGTGCTCCCACCTCCCACTCCACGCCACCATCACCGGCCACTGAGATGACAGGAATGCCGTCACCCAGCAACCCCCGGCCTGGAAGACCTTTCAGCTTTCCAGTCAGAACCCTTCCCTGCTGATCCCACCAGCAGCCCCCAACGCCCTTTGATACTGGGATTTGGAATAAAGCCCTTAACATGACCCCCAGCCCTTGCCTCTCACAAGCTGCCCGAGTTCTGTGCCCCGCCGTGCTCTTGTATTTCCCTCTCAAAAGGGCTTTGCGAGTGCTGGCGTCAGCCTGTGGGGCCTCTCTCCCTGCTCTCCTGGGCTATTTTCGTCTCTTTGTGCCCAGGAAGCTTTCCAGAGTCCCCATACTCGCTCACGTCTTCCTGTTAGATGCTCTCATCTCCTTCCTGGCTCGGATGGCGGTCACCTAGCATGCAGCTGAGCATGCATTCTGTAAACCTCTGGCTCCTTCGATGCCATGTAGGTGCCACCAGGAAAGGTACTGGTGTGGTTTTGCCTATCCTTATATTCCCAGCGCCTAGCACATGTTCACTGAGACAAGTTTGGAACAAGTGCCAGTCCTGGGGAAGCTACTTCCTTCTCCACACCTCAGTGTGTCTATCAAATAGCTTTCCCTGCAGCCTGCCACAAGCCTACAAAATTCCCCAAACACCCGCAGAAGGACAGATGGACTCCCTGCCCTAGTGGTGTCACTCTTCAAATCGACTTCCCAGGCCCCAGAGGCAGGCGGCAGTGGGCTGGCAGCCTCCAGAGTCCCCAAAGTGAGACAGGGTCTCACTTTGCTGCCCAGGCTGGAGTACAGTGGTCTGATCATGGCTCGCTGCAGCCTCGACCTCCCAGGCTCAAGCAATCCTTCCACCTCGGCCTCCAGAGTAGCTGAGATTACAGGCACACACCACTACACTTGGTTACATTTTAAAATTCTTGGGAGAGATGGGGTCCCGCTATGTTGCCCAGGCGGGTCTTGAACCCCTGGGCTGGAGCCATCCTCCCGCCTCAGCCTCCTAAAGTCCCCAAATCGTCATCTTTCCTTTCCTTTAATCTTTAATACAGGCTGGGCCAATGTGCACGGCCTCTTTTATGATTTTCTTAACATTGTATCTTCTCTACCTTACTTTAATGCAAGAGTGTACTATATAAGACATATTAACCAAGCATATGTAAATTGATTGTTCTCAGTGAGACGTCTAGTCCGCAGTAGGCTATCAGTAGTTACGTTTTTGGAAAGTCAAAAGTTATACACAGGTCTCCTCTGACTGCGTGTGGGGTCAGCACCCCTAAGCCCTGTGCTCAGGCGTCAACTATACTCATCCGCACTTTGAAGCATGTAACACCAGCGCCCACCCTGTTTTTGAGGAAATCCAGCATTCCCTTGATACTGGACCTTATCTTTTTTTTCTTTTCCTTTTTTTTGAGACAGAGTCTTGCTCTGTTGCCAGGCTGCAGTGCAGTGGTGTGATCTTGGCTCACTGCAACCTCCGCCTCCAGGGTTCAAGTGATTCTCCTACCTCAGCCTCCTGAGTATCTGGGATTACAGGCGCCCGTCACCACGTCCAGCTAATTTTCGGATTTTTAGTAGAGATGGGGTTTCACCATGTTGGCCAGGATGGTCTCAATCTCCTGACCTCATGATCTACCTACCTTGGCCTCCCAAAGTGCTGGAATTACAGGTATGAGCCACCGTGCCCTGCCGATACTTCACCTCATCTAAACAGGACTGCCACGGAGACTTTACTCTGTAAAAGCAACAATTTCATCTTAACACAAAGTTTAAAATGGTTAAAGAAAAAATCCCGAGTGCTCTTTGTTCATTGGAAAATTCTCTGATGCTAACCAACTTAATTATTCTAACTTCAAATAAATCATAATCTTTTCTTTAATCTTTCGTCATCTGACGTGTTGCAGGGAAGCCAGGCTGAGAGCTGCACGGTTCCTGAGCCTGTCATTCCAGGAGAACCCCGGAGCTTCAGGCCTTGCTTTCCTGAGAAGCGCTTAGTGACACAGGGTCACTCCTTGCTGTGTTAATGAGTAAGTGAGGGAATAATGGACACCTGCAAGGTTAATACAGCTAGTGCTTGACTTATGACCACGGTCGGGACCGCAGACTGGTCGTTGCACGATTTGGTCGTAAGTTGAGTAGGCTATATGTACAGTTGAAATGGTGCACGCGGAGATGGTAGTGCTGCCGGAAGCTGGTCCGCACTGTCGTACGCCCAGCTGGGCAACGTTTGCGCTGCCAGACGCAGAGCAGTCGTGGCTAGCGATTGTGGTCGTAAAGTCGAATGGTCGTAAGTTGCATAGGTGGTAAGTCGATGAATACCTGTACTGCCCTGGTGAAAGAATTTCACTTAAAATGAAATTAATCCATTTTAAATCCATCAAATTCATTCATAAAATGATTAATTCATTATAAAGTTAGCAATAGTAGTTTACATATATATATATATATATATATATAAAATAGTACATACAGGTATTGATCGACTTACCACCTATGCAACTTACGACCATTCGACTTTACGACCACAATCGCTAGCCACGACTGCTCTGCGTCTGGCAGCGCAAACGTTGCCCAGCTGGGCGTACGACAGTGCGGACCAGCTTCCGGCAGCACTACCATCTCCGCGTACATATAGCCTACTCAACTTACGACCAAATCGTGCAACGACCGGTCTGCGGTCCCGACCATGGTCATAAGTTGAACACTAGCTGTATATCTAAAATAGTATGTTTGTGTGTGTGTGTGTGTGTGTGTGTGTGTATCATTTGTCTATTACTGAACTTGGCAAACAGAAATATATAGAAATAAAAGTAGACCTTACTGCTGTGTAAGTCAATAATGGATGCTGTTCCTTCCCTCCATTGTTAATTTAAAAATGATTGCTGCCCAAGTGCAGTGGCTCACTCACACCTGTAATCCCAGCACTTTGGGAGGCTGAGGAGGGTGGATCACCTGAGGTTGGGAGTTTGAGACCAGCCTGACCAACATGGAGAAACCCTGTCTCTATTAAAAATACAAAATTAGCCAGGTGTGGTGGTGCATGCCTGTGATCCCAGCTACTTGGGAGGCTGAGGCAGGAGAATCACTTGAACCTGGAAAGCAGAGGTTGTGGTGAGTCAAGATTGTGCCACTGCACTCCAGCTTGGGCCACAAGAGTGAGAAACCACGTAAAGTAACAATTGGGTACGGTAATTAAGCCAAATCTTTATAGGTCTCTCCCTATGAATGCTTCCACACTGTCTGCAAACTACAGTCTCATTTGCAAAGGACCCAGGTAAGAACGAAATCTGCATATGAAACAGTATAGTGTGAATCGTATCTAATTTTAAGTATTTTAATTTATATGCTTTCATGAATATAGGTCAATAAGGAATCCACTTTTCAGATTTTATTTCATTATAGAATATATTTGACAAGGATACATACAAACAGATTCATCTTCAATAATACACGGTGTCTACTGGTGCCCTGCACTTCCGCAGCAGGCTGGTGATGTTGTCAAAAAGGTTTCTGAAATTTGCTCTTAATCAGCCACTCTGAACAACCAGTGCCATAGAGTTCAGATAATTCCATTCACTTACTTGCCTAGAATGAGTAAAAATCTTAATATTTGTTTTAAAGTCTGTTTATTACTCTTCTATTTAAAAATTTGAGATACATTCCCCAATGTAAACAATAAATTTCAATCTGTCACACAATGGAAATGGATAAGGCCTTCTTGACAAATTTCTGCCACCTCCGTTCAACGCATCAGAGCTCAATCTTATTTCATATGGTAATGAGTCGCCCATGCACAAAAGACAGAAAAAGCAGCTGCCCTTGGTACCTGGTGGAGCCTTTGGAGACTTCTCTCTGCAGGTTTATGGTACACTCAAGAGAGATCTTTCTGAGTTGGTCTACTTGGTCGTAAAATACAAATATACAATGTCTGTAAGCATCAGACAGTGAAGCCTAGTCTTACATATTTATTATGAATTGCTAGAATCCTATACAAATACAATATCATCTCATGCCAAGTCATATACAGAAGAAGGTGGCAAAACGTCTCACCGTTAATCAGGGCGTGTGAACAAGGGAGGGGGTGCAAGCCAGTTGGGCGTGAAGAGGCTGACCGCATCTGGTTAGGCAGGACGGTGTCACTGAAACTTGGAAACGCCTGTGTCCCCTGCTGAAATATTTAAGTCAATTAGGAGTAGAATCTGCCTAGCACAAGAAGGATACAAGCCCTCTCTCATAGACTCCCCAAGGGAGAAGGTCATGAAACCTTGGAAAATGTAACCAAATACAGTCTCATCTTTGCGTCTCCTGATTCAGCTGTGCAAATCAGTTACTCACTCTCCTTAAGTGGTATCTGCCCTTTTAGGACCAATTCATCAACAGCCATCATGGTTCAGTACCTCATTATCATCATCAATATGTGACAGCAAGCTAGATGGTGAAACAGTGAAGACTATATACAGTGTTTTAAAAGGCATTCTGTGACCATTTTTGAAGAGTTCATAGAAAAGTTACTAAGAGGACACCAGTCACTTCTGTTGATGTTGCTGTCATGTAAACGCTGGAACCTGGTTGATATTCAACGTGCAGTGTCATTTATTGTACAACAAAAGTGAACGCTGTGGCACCGCTGACCCGCTAAGCTAAGGTAGCCGGCAGAGGGTACAGTTTTCCTGAGGTTTGTAAGAACTTTTTAAACAAAACAGAAATCACAGTGACCAGGGGTAATGCGAGTCTGTGTCTTCCTTGCCCATGCTGCTCCCCATGGCTCTCGGTGGGGACTAAATGACACGCCACTGCATGATGCTCGTGTCCTTCCCGCCCGTGGAGATGAGGTGGCTGTCTTCGCAGAGGAAATTGACGTTGGTGACGTGGCTGCTGTGCCCGCCGTAGATGTGGCTTGGAGCCTGGAAGAGAATGATATGGGGAAAGGTTCCTTTACTATAAAGGCAAACCGTCTGCAATGGGAAGTGCTTGAATTCTCACTGCATGCCTTAATTCCTTTACTCTCCCTTCACTCGGCAGCTGCCACTTGGGCACCTGCTCTGTGCAGGACTCAGAAGGGACACAGAAACAAACCCACAGTCCTCCTGGACAGACACGAGCAAGTAACTGCCCTCAGCCGAGTGATACGTTCAGTATCATCAGAGGTGCCAGGTATGAGGTCACCCCAAAGGCGGGTCTAACCAGACACTGGCTGAGGGTGAGGGGTCTCCTTGTTGAAGGGGGATCAGGCCAGGGTCATGAGGATGAGGAAGGGTGGTCCCAGGCCTTAGGGCTGGCTCAGCTCAGCAGGGCTGGAGCAAGGGAGCCGCGGTGGAGGGCAGAGGCATGAGCCCGTGGGGCCGCAGAGGTAGACGAGCAGATGAGAGTCTCGGGGTTTCCCTAAGGGCGGCCAGAAGCACTGAGAGCACGGATAGCGGAGTCAAATCCGCATCCGTGGCTGGCAACACTCACAACCCATTTCCTTTTAGTCTCCAAACAGGTCAGGCACACGTGCATGCCCGACGGGGGATGAGATTAGTGGAGGAACAGGCCCTTTACCCTGAACTGCGAGCAGGGGAATGAGAAGAGGTGCACTTTGCCAAAGTCGTCGCCTGTAGACAGGAGTTTTTTCTCATGGGCCCGGCAGACGGCATTGATGTCGGTTCCATCCGAGCCTTCTGGCCACACTCCTGAAACAAAGACCACAAACAGAGCACTGGAAATACCAGGGGACACAGGGTACATCGCACAGGAACTGGCTGCCGTACTGTCCTGAACATAAAACTGCCTCAAGTCCAGCTTTAGAAACAAGGGTCAAAAGAGCAGTCATCTCAGCCCGGGCTTCTCCCTGTGCGCCCAGCATTGCTCAGGCAGTCTTGGGAAACCCTCTGATGCTCACTGCACGGGAGCAGGACGATGGGCTTTTCGGGTTGCCGTGTCTTTGGAGGGCCCTTCTTGAGGCCAGGGCAGCCAGGACTAGGAGCCCTGGTTCTCAAGGCGCTGCCCCTCCTTCATCTCTGAAGCGTCTTGGGAAGCTGCCCTGTCCTCACGCCTGCAGTTCCTTGTTCCCGTCGTAACTCTCTACATGTGTGGGTCTCTCCAAAGGCCATTTAACCCTGGCTCTGCGCATGTTTCTTGGGGTCACTCCCTGTAGCTGCTGCTTGCCTGGTGCAGCTTGGCAGTGGTGGCCGTCGTTACTGGCTGCAGACTCTGCAGCCCTGAGCCCAGGTAGGCCTGGAGAATGGGTGGGTGGGGGACACCATCTTCCGACCATTGTCAGGGAAACCCTTTGCACAATACCTGTGGCTAGAAGGCTGGATATACATGGGTTTTCAATTGGGAGCTCTGGAGTGAACCTTCAGACCTCAGCACTGAATACCAGAAAATATCGGCCAATTCTCACCAATCTACTGGCTTGTGCTCTTTTATAGATGATAAACAGTGTCTTTAAAAATTTTATTAATTTGTGGCCCTTTAATTTAGGTCACTTATGAATATATTCCTAAGGTGAACTTTGAAGAAAGTAAAATGTTTAGTTTAAGAACCAAAAAAATAGAAATAAAAACCCTCACAAATGATAAGTAAGTTGACTGAGCACCATCTGGATTACCCAGGTCCGTGTGGCACAACCTGACAGGAGAGGGTTCCAGGGAATTCTCAGGACCCGCCATCCTGTACGCTGGAGAAGGGTTAAAAACTCATCTCTCTGGTTCTTCTCAGCGGGCCGCAGCTGGGCAAGCCCCGGCCCTCCCCCAGGGAGCGGCGGGAGGCATGTCTCATGGGGTCATGTAGCAGCAGAGCAGTCTGACAAGACTGGTGACTATGAGACTCCAAAGCTGCTGATGAAACGTTTTAAAGGGACATTATGTTGGAACCCAGTGAACTCTGCAGGAAACTTACCAAAAACATGGAATCCCAAAGTGCAGGTGTAGGTGGCCCATTCAATGTCTCTTGTAGTTTCCACGCTTACAACTTGCTTACAGGCGGAGGGAACCCCTGCAAAAAGCAAACGCAATCTGGCGACATCTAAGCTGAGGCCCCACCCCTCCCCCGAGCAAGGCTGAGCCCCCAGAGCTGAGCCCCGTTGGGTACAGAGCCCTCCCCAGAGAGGGAGACCCTCCACTTCCCAGTCGTGTGGGAACCGTGTGCACAGCTGTGAGCTCGCCTGGAATGGAGCCCGAGCCCCGGGCCTGGGTGGAGACGCCCTCTTCTTTGTTTTTTCCCATCTCGGTCTCTGAGTCTGTTTCCCACAGTCTGGCTTCCTTGTCTCCGGTTCCTGGGTCTCCGCCTGCCGCCCGCCACACCGGAGCCCCTGAACACAGCTCTGCCCCTGCTGTCAGGCCCCCCAGCCTCCCTGTACTGCATTCTCTTCAGCTCAGAGTCAGGAATGGAGGTTATGGAAAGCAGTCACATCAAGGGCCTAGAGCCTCCCAGGGGACTTGTGCGTTCCCCAAATGAGCTCTCACCAGCAGAGTATGAGACCGCACCTGAGAAGGTTCTAGACCCAGGGACTGTCCCTGAAAACCATCTCCTGTCCCTGTGCCTGTGTCAGGTAGGCCCTGGACAGGGAGCAGGTGAGACGGTGTAGCTGCCGTCCCCACTGGAGCAAGCTAAGTCTCGGTACACACCGCCCCTGCTTTCCCTGCTGTCCGTGGTCCTGCTTGATCTGGTTGGTGAGTACCAGCCACAATTATCCTTGCTGTTCCTAGGCACGGCCTGGGCCCAGAGACTGGCCAGGGTGGGGTTGGGAGAGGAGGAGGAGGAGGGGTCCCAGGGCTGCTGTCTACCTAGGTAGGAGGGACTTCATGGCCTGTCCCGTGAGGATAACACCGTCCAAGCCCTCCTTGTGCCTGGACAGCTCTGGACCCACCCTCTTCTGCCACATCAGCCCACCTCCAGCCTCCCGCTGCAGGGCTCGGCCTTCTTCCCCTTGGGGCAGGCCCTGCACCTTCTCCTCCACGGGGGCTCACAGTCAGCAGGAAACTGGGAAGGACCCAAGAGGCCATGCAGCCCCATTCCTCAATGTTACAGAGGAAGAAACCATGGCCTAGAGCTGATGGCCCGCATCTGTCATGTGGGAGGTGGGTTTTCAGAGGCCCCTGGGTCTCAGAGTGAACACTATGAGATTGAGACTTCATACAACCCAGGAGTGGTACTCACAGTAGAGGATTTCGTAGTCTCCGGAATTTGACACGAGGAATTGCGAGTTTACCGACCAGTCCAGGTGAGTAATGAAGCTGGAATGACCCTGGGAGAGAAGAACACTGTCTTCACTTCACTGGCCTTAGAAGTCCCTGCCAACACCGTTCTGCTGTGGTTAAATAAATGCACACAGGTGCATGAGAGGCGGCAGGACCATAGTCGGCGCTTACCGAGCACTTGCCCACACGTGTGTACTTCCTCCCGTTGTCACTGACGCCATAGATATAGATGCAGTTGTCATGTGAGCCTATGGCTAGGAAATTCCCATCTACAAAGAAAGGACAAATTACACTTCAGAGGTGAAAAATACACATTTTATTCGTTACAAAGGATAACGGTAGCTGCTACCATGGATTTAGACAAAATCGCCAGATTCATGAATTATTTCCAAGAGAAAAATCTGGTTTTGAATGAATTCTCTGCCACTTCCTAAGCTATCTTTTGAAAAATACACACCTGGCCAGATGATAAAATCTGGTAAAGATTGAGATATTTTTTATGAACTTTTTATTTTTTTGAGACAGGGTTTCGCTGTCATAGGCTACAGTGCAGTGGTGCGATCGCAGCTCACTGCAGCCTCAACCTCCTGGGCCCAAGTGATCCTAGGGAGGTAGCTGGGACTGCAGGCCTGCACCACGACACTCAGCCAATTCAAAAACTTTTTTTTTGTAGAGTTGGGATCTCGCTGTGTTGACTAGGTTGGTCTTAAACTCCTGAGCTCAAGTGATCTGGATGCCTTGGCCTCCCAAAGTGCTAGGATTACAGGCGTGAGCCACCGTGCCCTATGAACTCTTTTCATACAATTTTATCAAATCTTATGAAGCCCTTCCCTGTCCCAATCACTGAAGGATGGAGGAGCCCACAAAGCCCACCGGGATGGCCTTCCAGCACGTCACTCCTCACTGAGTACACGGGTTCACTTAGGCCTCTGCGCTCGCCGCCCCCTGCTGGGATGGCCCTTCCTGCCTCTCTTCCCAGGGGTATCTTGGTGTCTTCTCCCACTAGGTTTCTGGTTCTGGGAGGGCCTAAGGACCTAGGCCTTGATGCTTGTGTGGAAACACACGGGAAGGAGCCCTTTGCTACAAAAGGCAGCAGCAGCCCAGGTGGCTGGAAGTGATCATGCACGCCACGCCGGGAGGAGGACCCAGGACAGGAGGCGGGGAGGAGGACCCAGGACAGGAAACAGGGCCTGGAGGGGAGTCCGGCAAATGGTCTGACTTTCCTGAGCCAGCAAGCAAACAGAAGGACTGGAAACCTGGAGCCAAGCAGGACCCAGAACAGAATGCAGGGTAGAGGGGGCCTCTCCGCTCCAGCAAGGGGACTGCAGGTCCTCCATCCACAAACACAGCGAACGGTGCGTTTTCACGGCAGTCGGGAGGCTTCACTTGGACAGTATTTGTACAGGGTTTTACGCTCACGGGCGCGTCAAGCGTCAATAAGGGTCGTTTCTCTCCTCCTCTTTCCTGTGATTTTCCTTCTCCGGACCCAGGGTGGCCTGGTGCCTCAGGGAATGGCATTTTAGGAAGTGATGGCCTAGGCCAGGTCAAAATAGGGGTGGCCTGTCCAAATCAAGAATCCTGAAGGAATGGGGCAAATCCATATTTTTTGCTGAAAAAAACAAAAAGGACTGCTGAAGCCAGAGACGGGCCATCGTCGGCTGCTGATGGGCTGGAGAAGGACAGGTGACCACGCCAGAAATCAACTGGCCCTGTGCTCAGTGCCTGCAACTGACCACCACGGCAACAGTGATGACGACCACAATCAAATGGCCACTTAATTTTACTAATTACAGTCATTAAATGGCGTGTGTGTGTGTGTGTGTGTGTGTGTGTGTTTTGAGATGGAGTTTTACTCTTGATCAGGCTGGAATGTAATGGTATGATCTCAGCTCACTGCAACTTCTGCCTCCTGAGTTCAAATGATTCTCCTGCCTCAGCCTCCTGAGTAGCTGGGATTATAGGAACACACCACTGTGCCTGGCTAATTTTTGTATTTTTAGTAGAGATGGGGTTTCACCATGTTGGCCAGGCTGGTCTCAAACTCCTGACCTCAGGTGATCTGCCCACCTCAGTCTCCCAAACTGCTGGGATTACAGGTGTGAGCCACTGCAACCAGCCCTCATATCTGTTTTGAAAGATGAATGAAACCCAGGACTTGACAGTGTCCCTCAGCCATCCACTTCTGTCTCTGACAGCCTCAGTCAGATTGTAGTTCCTCTTGCCCATTCTAATCCACAGTCTTCATGCAGGAGTTGAAGCCCACTTTTGCCTGGGGAAGTCCTCCCCGCAGAGGGGAACTGGCTGATCGTATCATCCACAGCCCCAGGCTTCTGCACAGGTATGGAGAGCTGTCCCAGGAGGCCCTCAGCCTCCCTGTGGACAACTCAGACCAGCCCACCCCACCCAGGTCTCTGCATCCTTAGCACACACCTGCTAGTGCTGCCTCACCCCTTGCAGGTGAAGTGGAAATGGGCAGTGACTCAGAGACAGAGGCAGAACTAGGAGAACGTTCCCTTCCTTGGAGGTGGTGCCTCCAGTCCGTCCCCCGAGACTACCACCACAAAAAACCTCGAAACGACTCTTCCATTGACCACGACAACTGCCTGGGAAGACGGCAGTGTGAGAATGAGAATGTGGGCTTTGAGGTCAGAAAAACCTAGGTTCAATCTGAGCTCTTTTACCCACATTCATCCATAAATATATAAAACCAACTGCCTAAGAAATCAAAACCAACCAGTGTTTGTTAATATACTAACTAGAGACCAGATGAAACCTAGCACAGCCTGGTTCTTGGGTCCCACAGAGCCTTTTTCTTTCCCTAATTGTCCTCTTCTCCTCCAAAAACTCTCTAAGCCTCATTCCCCAGCTCTCTCCGAGACTGAGATTCCTAAACTTACTCCACTGAAATAAGCTAGTATTTGGCCCAAAATGAAAATCAGCTGGAGAACTCATAAAGGCAAGGAGCAGGAGTCCAGGTGCTCAGAGGGAAAGGACAACCTTACGGCTGTTTCCTACTGATCATTCACTCTTCACCAGGCTGGGGGCTTCAGTCAAGCCCAGCAGCACCTCAGCAGAGGGTTCAATTAGTCTTGCTCTGCAGGATGAGGAAACTGAGGCTCAGTAACTTGTGTACGGCAACACGGCCAGGTGAATGGCACAGGCAGAAATCACTGCATGGGTGGCAAGTACCTGCATGCTGACGAGAGACATGTGGGTGCAGGAACAGCCGTGCCGCTACGGTGCAGCCTCTCCTGGCACACTGGGCACTGGAATTTTGGGCTTGGAGACAAGACGGCTGCATCTGGATGGGGACTGGCCCAGGGCGGGTGGATGCCACACGGGAGGGGAAAGGGCTGGCTGGATGGCAGGGGCTGCATCACCACTGGTCTTAGACGCAGGCTGACAAGGCGGGATTTGATACTGCAAGTGACTGAGTGAATGCCAGATTCAGATTCATCCCAGTAAAGGCAGAAAAAACCCACCTTTCAAACAATGACATGGATAAGATCGAAGAAGAGAAATATGGCTGCACGACCAGTTGTACCTGGTCCTTCTGGTCTTCTCTCTTTCATCTTCACATTCTGATTTTTCAATGAGCTGAAACTAGAACAGGAGGACTAAGGATCTGCAGCTGGGCTTAATGAATAGGAAATTATTTTCTTTCTATTTCGTTCTTTAAAAAAGTACAATCTTGACCGGGCGCGGTGGTTCACGCCTGTTATCCCAGCACTTTGGGAGGCCAAGGCGGGTGGATCACGAGGTCAAGAGATCGAGATCATCCTGGTCAACAGGGTAAAACCCCATCTCTACTAAATACACAAAAATTAGCTGTGCGTGGTGGCACACACCTATAGTCCCAGGTACTTAGGAGGCTGAGGCAGGAGAATCGCTTGAACCTGGGAGGTGGAGGTTGCAGTGAGCCGAGATTGAGCCATTGTACTCCTGTCTGACAACAGAGCGAGACTCCATCACAAAATAAGAAAAAGTACGATCTTCATTCAATCAAAACTCCATTCTGTCCAATCAGAAAGTGCTCTATAAGATTCTCGACACGAAAGTTAAATATGAGAATTGTCACGATGAAGCTTTAATAAGCCTACGTGGGAGCTGGCATTTTGCCAACAGTCAGTTGACTGTGGTTGTAATAAACTTTCATGCAACATTAGCTTTTCAGCAAAAGCCCATGTTATGTAAAATAGTCCATAAATGAAAAACAGTTGCTACAACATGCCTGAGATGGGTATTCAATGGTCCGTGGAAATGCTCTAGGCTCATGGCTCTGAGTGTGCCGAAGAACCCCCACTGCTCTGGGCAATTCACACACACTCCTGGAGGGCTTTGCTTCGTGGCTGGGTTCTAGGCGTGTGCCCAGAGTTCCAGGGCTGGCTTTCTGCACCTCCCTCCGCCACCCACAGTGAGGTACAGACCAACAACTCAAACCTGGGCCTGCCTGTCGGGCTCACAGAAGTGAGAAACTGCCAGAAAGACTTAGTTCTCAATTGCTGCTAAAGTTTTGCTTGTCCAGTTTATGAGGTAACCCCTCTGATCTGCACCCCCGTACAGCTAACAGCAATGTTGAAGAGGATCGCAAAGTGGCCCTGGTTCCTCCTAAAGCTCCGTCTCTACACTCCCGGTCTGTGGCGATGGGTCAGGGTCCACCCACATCACTGAGTGCGAAGGTGGCATTTATCCCTGGACAGGGCGCCTGCAGCTGGGGGCCTGTTGGTCCTTCTCACATTCTGGAGGCCCAGCTCCATCTAGAAAGCTCAAGAACCACTGGCTTTTCCTCTGGCCATCAACACAACCCCCAGAGCTATGCTGAGACCGATGGAATGAGAAAAAGCCCTCATCATTTCACGATGGTCTCCTTACTTAGCACACAGCAGTGTAGGGGGCTGCTACCTGGGAGATGGGCTACAGATGTCAGCTGGGATTGTGGTAGCAGGTTCCTGAAATTCCATGTTAATGGCAATCTGTGCTTGGGCATCAAATGTTTTTTTTTTCTCTCTCTCTTTTTAGTTTCAAGTCTATAAATACTTAAATCCAAAAAGGAGATAGTAATCTACAACAGTATAGCCTATATGCTGGAAAACTCCTGTGTAACCAGAAAACTCATACTGCTGATCACATTTTGCTTTGCGTCAGTTGCACTATAGCTAGTTATAGGTACATTAATGCATGGAACTAACCTGCCGTAAACCCTGTGCCAGGAGCTAGCTGGGCACACAGTGCTGAAGAAAATAGGGTCCATCCCATTATGGAACTGTGG